TTCACCTTTCTTTCATTTCTTCCACGTTTCCTGCCGCCAACCTTTCACCTTTCTTTCATTTCTTCCATGTTTCCTCCAGTTTCCTGCCATTTCTTACCTATACTAGCCCTGAAATATGCCTTTGCAGCTCTGTAGAATTATCTGTCTCATCACACTGCACATGAATACAGAAAATTCTTCAATATTTATAAATCCTAACTCTTTCACTTGGCTTGATCAACTTTGCCTATCATCTCCTTTCTTGAGGGGACTTAGTCAAGGGGCCAGGGAGAACTTTTATATATGACAGGTTCATATCTCTGTATGAAACGACTTGTAGGAATATTTGACTTTTTGCCTCATGACTGTATCTTGCCCACTGAAAGTTCTCTCCTTAATTTAGTTCTTTGGCTTGCAGGTAATCTGTATTTCTTTGGCTTGTCTTCCCCTCCTTTTCCCATCTGTTCAGATTAACAACACAGTTTGATGAGCAGGTGAATTGCAGATCTCTGTTAGCAAAAATTGTACATGAAAGAGTACATTTTTTCCATTCCTATCACCCACCCTGCAGGCTGATTCAGTTTGTCAGTTTAATTAGTCAGAAATCAGGTCTACTTTTAAATATTATAGAGCTAATATATTTTTTTCGGCACTAAGATGCACAAGACAAAGCAATGATCTAGGATTTCTAAACTTTAGGTATTTAGAGGGAATGGTGCTGCCCGATGCTCTGCTCTCTGATGTGAAATTGCATTTCTCTGAGTAGCGGCTGCCTTTTCCATTTTGTAATCTCTCAGTCTCCTCCAATATTTCATGAACGGATGAAAGTTTTTTGTTTTTATCCTGGCCTATTTATCTGCTGAGGTGTGAGACTCTCAGAAAGAGATGCATATGAAGGATTAAATGGCTTATCTCACACTTTTCACAGCACAAAAGATTAGAGAAAGACGGTGTACACAGGCACTTCCATTAACTACTGTCATCTAGCAACAGTGTTCCCTGAGAATATAATACTCTACAGATTTTTGTCTTACCACTTCTTCCCTTCACTTTAAACACCTCATAACAGCAAGCATAAAATGGTAAGTAGTTTAAGTTTTACTGATGTTGGAGAACTTTTTGGCCATGAATTTAAGCTTTTAGCAGAAGCTAGGAGCAGAGAGGATAGATCCTCAAACATGGACTGTGTTCCTCTGAAATTCTTTACATACTGGGCTATCGTGATCATATATTTGGACCCCGGCTTGACTGAATAGATAGTAATGCTGCCTCTTTAAATTTAGTCTTTAATTTATAACCTTGACAACACATGTACAGAGTAGATTTTAATGCTGGCTTTAAGCCGTCTTGATTAATCCACTTCATCTCAGGCACCCCCAGGGATTAGCTATAGGAATCTGTTTAAATTGCGTGGTTTTCCCATCTTTCTACAAATGCATAGAGCTTGTTAGACTTGCTGCAGCAGAGACACCCTCACAAGAAGCCACACCAGTGTATCTCAGACTCTGTACCCCAGTATCAATGTAGCTCACCAGATGTTCTGGGATGTGTGGTGGGACAGAGACCTACCACTCAAGGTTATGACACAAGAAAAAGTCTGGGTTGATCTGCAGATCAATGTAGCTCACCAGATGTTCTGGGATGCGTGGTGGGACAGGACCCGAGAGCTACCACTCAAGATTATGACACAAGAAAAAGCCTGGGTTGATCCGCATCACAGTGTGAAATTTGCAAGCACCAGTGGAAAAGCATGCACAGCTACGCTTAAAAAGGTCATTTAATTTAATGAGCAATATAACGAAGCTACATTGTATTGTAATGCACACTGGAGTCAAATCCACTGGAGCTTAAAAAGGTCATTTAATTTAATGAGCAAGATAACGAAGCTACATTGTATCGTAATGCACACTGGAGTCAAGTCCACTGGATTAAAGCCTTAGAGCAGTACACTACAGGACATCTGCAATGAGGGTCACAGAAATGTAGCTGTCCTCACGTAAACAAACACATAAAAAGGAAAAAAGATAACAAAGGTCAAGAGAATTCCATCTAGCCTGGCAAATATCCTCTCTGATTTTTTTTCTGAGTTAATTCTTGTTTGAATCAATAGATTTTAGATTTTAGAACCCATTTACAGATTTCCCATGATCCTTCCCCATCTCCACTGCAGCTAAACTGTTAAAATGGCCAATTACAGACTCTGTCAAAAGTACAAATAGCTAATCTTGTATTGTTGTTGGATTTTTTTACATGTATGTCTTCTACACTAAGGTGCCTTTTACAATTACATATATAATATTCTAATATCTCCTGCTTCCATTTTTTTAAAACAAAAGCAGAGGAATAGTCTTTTTCTTATCTTCTTTGATATTCCAAGTATATCAGGTCTTACTGAAAATCAGTATTAGAAGTCCAAAAGGCTGCTCAGATATTTTTTTTTTGAGATCTATTTTTTAAAAGTTATCAAGAGTGGCTGATTAAAAGTATATGACATTACTTGCTCCTGTTTAATATCCTGTTCAGTTACTGTTGAAATTGAAAGTATTTTATCACAGTCATGTTCTGACATCAGTACTTGATCTTTCTCCAAGTACAGAACTACATTGAGCACTATTCAGTGTAAAAGGTACACGTATACTTACATAGAGCTTACACTGCTGAATGCTACTGGGTTTTTTTGCCCAACACTATTGATAACTCCACCATTGCTACATTACTAGTGGACTTGTTAACATTTATTCTAGACGTGAGAAGTGAGTGAGTGCTTTTTATTACCTGTCACTCCACTGACTGATGATTATGTCCCTTATTTCCTTCCAACATTTTACCAATTCCTAACTTCTAGTTTCCTATCAAATTCTTTTTTTCTCCCATCTGTTACTTTGTTTTCTTATTATGTTTGCTGTAGTTACTATCACATTTACTCCTAGATCAGCTGGATGTTTTTACGTGTTTAATCTTCTTCTTCAGTTGTTATTCTAGCAGAACATTATTAAATTGTTCTTGCCACCATCCACGTTTCTTCCATCTAAATTATTTCTGCAGGGGTTTCGACTCCTGCTTATTTCAGGTCTCTGATACTGGACTTTTAAAGTGTGTGCATGTGTAGAAATACCTAATTCCTTTGTCATATAAATTTCAGAATAAAGATAATAATTTGCTGCATTTTAGTTTTGTAATCAATTCCTCTATCAGTCAGGATGTGAATGAAAACTGGCACCATGCCATGCAGTTGTCACCTGTGCCTCTGAGATTCTTTCTTTCTGTCCATTTTAGTGCAAATTCCCAGCAATGACAGTACCCTACTCTGGAAGCTGAAGAACTCCCAATGAGTTGGGGGGGTTGCATTGTTTGGGCCTACTTTCAGCCTGTATTTTCTTTGTTGATCCCAGTCATTTGCAGTGCTTCTGCTGTGAATGGTAACATGACTGTGCATCAGTCTTTGTATGGAATTTTATCTGATCTTCTCTCCTCAATTTTTTCCCAGCCTGCTGTCCTTCACTTCTCCCCAGCAGGGGATTACGAGTGCTTCTGCACTGCTTTTCTGCCATATACCTCTGATTTTACCACAAAATAACGCTTGTCTCCTGTAGAAAAAACAATACATTCTATATCTCCTCAAATGCTTTCCATGTACTGCCAACATTGTGATGTAATAGTGTCAAGTTGCCTTTGTTGATTTTCAATACCTTATAAAGATGACTAGTAAGTATTTAAGGAACTCACCTTTTCCTAAGTTCTGTACTGTTATCTGCAAGGCTTAAAGCATTTTGATTTGTTACCTCTCTTCTTGAAGTTCATAGTCTGCACATGAGGTAGTGACTTATCATACTTTGGCCCTCATTTACTCCTTCCATAAATAAAAAATAATCTTTAAGCAGCTGGAAACTCCTCTGTGCTAGGGGAAGACATGAGGTTTTCCTGCTTTAGTTACCTGATTTAATGTTGTTGTTTTTTCAACACCCTGAAAATGTAACATTGCATAATGCAATACAGATTCATGAACATTACTGGTATTTACAGTCTCATACTGACTTATGTTATTTCCAAAGGAAGGACATTTTGAAAAATAGTAATATTTTTTTTAATCTTAATCAACGTTTAGAAACACATGGGAATAGCTTGGTGACCTTCTTAATAAAACTTTAACCGGAACTCTTTTCTCCTCTTAATTTAGGTCAAATACGCTCTTTATTTTGTGCGTATGACTCTGTACCCTTATTTAATTATTCTCTGGATGTAGCTGTTGTTAAACCCCTACAATTTAGCACAGTTTAGCACATATTTCCAGCTGCTTACAGGAACTCACTGGGGAATGTGCTTCAATATCACTTCACACTTATTAAAATACAAATTATTCCATAGCAAGAATATGCTACTGCCGTGAATGAATAAATTTTAATCATTAGATGTAAAAGTGAAAATTCAACCTGTTCAAGAATATTGTCAAAATGTTTTTGTAAGATACTGCTTGTATCTGAATAAACATGTTGCGTGAAGTATTTGTGTATACTGTAGTAGTGAGTGTTAATGGTTATACAACTGCACACAGTTGAAAAACAAGAAATGTTGACAACTTTTTTATTTCTAAAATATCATTTTTATAATATATATTGCTAATATTGTTAATAATATTTTTAATACTTCTAATAAAATATTCTCGGTTTTTTTGGTATTTCTAAAAAACTCTTGACTGCCTCAAAACACGTCATTAAAAGATGTCACCATGCTGGTCCCTCCCCTCCCTGGGGAGGGACTCTTTGCCAGGAAGGGTAATGATAGGACAAGGGGAAATGGTTTTAAATTGGAAGAAAAAAGATTCAGATTAGATATCAGGAAGAAATTTTTTACTATGAGGGTGGTGAGACACTGGAACAGGTTGCCCAGGGAAGTTGTGGATGCCCCATCCCTGGAGGGGGGTTGGAACTAGATGATCTTTGAGGTCCCTTCCAACCCAAACCATTCTGTGATTCTATGATTCTATGAAAGAAATATACTTATTCCTTTTTTTTTTCTCGTAGATATTTTTAGACGCAGATACAATCCGTCTGGGAAATCTACCAGTGGGTTCCTTTTCCTCCTCCTCCTCCTCTTCCTCTTCCTCCTCCTCCTCTCCCAGCTCTTCAGCTCCTCGCCAGACTATCTATGAGCTCTGCGCCTGTCCCAACGGTAAACTTTACCTGTCCCCAGCAGGAGCAGGCTCCACATGTCAATCCAGTAGCAACATCTGCTTGTGGAGCTAAGAAAGACTCCCAATTTCTCCTCACACCAGAATAGCCTTTTTGTTACTGTCCCTCTGCTTCACAGTTCTGCTCGGTTTCCCTTGTGACAAGTCCGACGCTTCAAACGGCCTGCAGAGCAACTTCTTCCAGTGTAAGCAGGAATACAGCGCTGCCTTCTCTCGTGGTTTGCGTGGCCACTCAACGTAGAGATGGGAGTCAGATATTCAGAAATCAATGTATTCTTCATCAGGAAACCTGGAACATAATATCACCTTTTGTCCAAAAGGGAGAATAACACAGGTGCCTTTGCTACATGAAGTGAAGCACATAGTTTTAGATTTTTGCAGGACCTGGATATGAACTGCACATATATATATATACAGTACATAAACAAATTTGCCCAGAATCTGACGGTGAGATGAATTGGTTCCCCCTGTATGATAAATAACTTTACTGTCTGAAAGCACAATTTTCCATTCATCTTTTTTCGATGTAAACTTTTATCCCTGAATTTTAAAATTTTGAAGCATTGTGTGATGCTTGCTTTACTAAACAATTAAATTCAGTAAATGGTTTTTAACACAAAAAGAGACAGAATCCCTCCCTGAGTTTGGTTTCTTTCAAAGTGTGTTGTTACTCTTTGTCTACTAAGTCTAGAGTTTTGTACACTAGGTAAATTTTGGAAGTGCTCAGCAATATTACCTTTCAGAGTTAAAAAGACATCTGCTCTTGTTTGTCAGATACGAACGGCCTTACATAGTATTTTTGTGGCTACTGCATGTGAAGCGATTGCTTTAAGTAGAACATACAGTTTCTGGAAAAGAACAGGGTAAAGAGGGGAATACTGATGATATGTTTGTCGATCAGTGTATTGCTCTTCACGAGGTATTTATAATTGGCAAATGCAAGGGAAAAATCTTCTAAAGAGCATCCTGTCCATTTTCCAGCTATGTCTGACTGCTGCCATTTGAACACAGTACAAACTCCAGTACTAATGTAATGTGTGATGCTGAAAAGCACTGCACTAACAACCAGTATGACATTCACATTTATTATCCTCTTTTGTTTACCCTCTGCTGATAAGCTTTTCAAAGTAATAGTAATATATCTAAAAACACATAGAAAATGACATTCAATATTAGAAAGTCCATTGATATTACATTGACTGTATCAGGCCTGTGTTTAAATTATGCAGCCCCATTTGCACTCAAATCTCACTACTGACTTCCCATTTTGACAAGTTTGATGTGGGATTTCTTTCTTGTGTCAATGCTCATACTTGTTTGACTTGGCTGGTAATTGAAATCTTATAAAAAATGCTTTGGTATGCTGCTGGTACATTTATCGCAACATCGATTAACAAGACTATCTTGAAACTTGCAGAACCCAGGAATGTAAAACAGTATAAAAATGTTCCCTATTGTGGAAGATGGCTTGATTATATGAGGTAAGTGTGCTTTTTAATTCTATCCTTTAAATTACCTCATCTAGCACATAGCTTTAGAGGCTTCTGAATGTAAGGTCACCAATGCAATCGTGGCTTTTGCAAGGTAACTCTAAAGTCAGGGCAGGTGGGTATTTCTACGCAATATTTTTTATTCTTAGAGGAAAAAAAAAGAAAATGAGCAAACTAATACTGTGATTACCTTTCTATTTTATTTCCACCTAATAAGGTTGATTTTGTTTTCGCTTCAGGTGAAATTCACTCCTGTGCAGAAGACCAGCACAAGACGTGTCCACGGCTTGACTGGTGCTTGCCGTTCCATTGGCCCTCTTCAGAGGTGTGAATTTCACCCCATAGCAAGAATTCTATATTTGCTGTTTCTACCAGTTAAATAAAGATTTTACATTCATTATTTTATGACTTTAGAAGAAAGCTGTTAACACCTGTATTTTTATTTCTTTGAGAATTTTATTCTTTTACTTGGAAAGAAAATATATTAGAAAATATTGCAAGAAGATATATTAGCAGTCTGAGGATTTTTAGTAAGAGAGACAGAAAGAGATACAAATGACAAAGGTGATAATAAAACAATAGAAAGTGTAGCCATACACTATACCATTAAAACTGTATGGAAATAGAAGTCTTTTTTTTATGCACACAAGTAATAAAATGGTAGTGTGAGAGTCATGTGGATAAATAATATTTTGGGAGGAAAAGTATACAGATCTGTATGAGGACACATCTACATGTATTCATTGTCTGTGCACACCTACATACACTGATTGCTTAAAAGATGGACAAACAGATTATAGTGACTAATCTATTTGGTGAATTAAATTGTGACTTCTTACAAGTCACACACAAGTAGCCTAAGATTTTTTTTTTTTTCCTCGAATAAACCCATAGGATGGCTTGCAGATACATTGTCAGGAATTTTCTGTTGAGTTTGTTTGTTTGTTTGTTTGTTTGCTCTTCACCTTATGTGATTATGTATCTGTAATACGTACAAAAAGGGTTTCTGCCCACTGGATGGAAAGACCCAACCTTTTTAAATTTTACACAAACTTGGGTGGAAATGAGTGAGTAGGAAAAAAAAAAGTCTTTTGTTACTAGATTAATTTTAAGAGCAAGGTTGGAATAATTTACTACATTGTATGAAGAAGACTCATGACAGAGGTGTGGATGGCACGTTGGACTCAACAAATCCCCATCACTCTCTACTGTCAGGATTTTCTTGCTTGGAGTCCCTTCAGCCTGAAGTTGAGGGTATTTGAGAGCTTCACTAACCTATGAAATAGCATAACCAGTTCCCATAATGTCTTAATATTCTAGTGAGCTTCAAAATATTGATGTTTTACCTTAACTCCATTGAAAACTGTAAGAAGGAGAAAATCTCAGTTTTCATGTTAAAGAATATTTCTAGCCCACCTGATTCCAGAGAGTATTGGAGAAGTGACTTCAACACATTTAGAGAACCAAAACATTAAAACACCAATAATCTGTAGGCACTGCCATCATTCCTGAGTCGAAGGAGAAACAGATCCAGTGGTTTAGAATGTTTGAAGCTGGCAATAGTGAAAACCTGAATAGTAGAGCTTTTCTGCTTATAGTGCGCCCCCAAAATATCAGAAAAATGGCATAATCCCACAATGTCATTTCAGATAGAAGGAAACTAGAAGATCTCAGCTCAAATACCATATTAAAAGATGGAGCCATAGCTGTGCTATTTCACTGCTGGTTTTATAATGCTGAGATCGTTGTGTGCAAATCCATAGGAGACTTTCAGATACTTTTTGTCACCTTCCTCATAGATTTCTGACCCCGCCTCCAAGTTATTTCAGTCCTTGTTGGCCATTTATAATATCTAACATGCAAATTATGGTAAAGCCCCTGCTAATGTTTCTCTAGGTAACATCTGATTGAATATTTTGATTGTGTATTTTAGAAAAGAGATGTCATTTATTCTGGTTAAGGCAGGAGTTTCCCATTAACAGCTCACTCTGTTGTGACAATTGTAGGGAAACACTGAAGACCTTAGGATATTTTTAAGCATTAATATTAGTGAAAAAAAAAATAAAAATCAGTGGCTAAAATATTCCTCTGAAGTTTTTTATAGTATATGAATACATGTATCAAATAAAGCTTCTTTTTGTACTAGAATGTTTGTATGGGAACCACTAAGATGGTATTGCAGCTATTTGACTTCTTCAGGGCTACCCTTATGAGAACATGAAATATATGAAGAGACCTTATTAGCTACATGTATTTAATCTATACGATATCTTCTGTAAAATTATCTGTGTCATGGTATTATAGGATACTGTCTCTTTCTTGTTTAAAAAAAAAAAAAAAGGAAAATAAAAGCATCAGCCAACCCCTCTGAGCACTGTTAGCTGTATGGTTTTGTATTGCAGTTCATTCATTGGTTAAGTGATAAGACCAAAGACTGACACTTCTATTATATCTAACACTATGACATTGCTGCTTCTACTAATTCTGTTGGAATGAAGAGATGACAAGTTGTAATTACAACATGAAACTGTAACATAGTTTAGATTTGTGCAGCATTTTGAGCTGTAGATTGTTCACTTTTTTCCAGGTTTTTTTGTCCATGTGGTGCAGTTACTTTACTGTTCGTGCATACAAAGATCTTTTGCTGTTCCTAAGGAAATGAAAGTGTGTATTCCAAAATGTGCTGAGACATTGCTTGTTTCAACTGAAGTTATACTGTTTTGCTTGCAAAACAGTGGCTTGACTGGATAACGGAATCCACTTTAAATCATTTCAGATGCAGAGGGCTTTTAAGTCTGGGTTGAAGATACAGCCATAAATGTCTAGAAGGATTTAATGAAGGATGTTAAAGATACTCAGTTGCTAACACCATGTATTATTTTTTATGTTTTTTACAGATTCTAAATCATTTTTTTAAATAAAAAAAATATAAATTAAAAACCCCTAAACCTTAGGCTATGGAATTGTTATCAGCTGATTCACTGTAATGCATATGTAAGTTGGATCGAAGTTTGAGTGTCATATTGTTTCAATCAGTACTCAGTAAAGGTCTGCCAATCATTTTTGTTTTGTAAGCTTCATGTTAATGATATTCTTGTGTATATAAATATATATAAAGATGGGAACTATTTTCTTACACATACTATGCAATATGTTTGTAAAACTGCAATATTACCAAAATGACAAAAGCTGTGCTTTTGTACTCTCTTGCTTTATGTAAACAAATCTTTTTTCTATTTAATGGACTGTCTGTCTTATAATTGTAGATAACATTATTCAAAAGCAGTACACTGAAACTTTAAGATTTTTTATTTTATTTTCCTTGGATTTTTTGTTTTATGAAAATAATAGCAAGGTTTTGGAAGTTGGAAATTGCTTTTTCTTGGAAAGCTAGAATATTTACAGCATGTAATTAACACAGTCAGTTTGAAATCTCTCCTGTATTTCTTTTATTTGGTCTTACTGTTTTCATCTGGTGCTACTATATAATCATAAATAAATGTTATACATAAAATAGGAAAAATATCAGAATTATTTCAAGAATAATCAAGTGGGAAGCTTTCTAAGGGTGAGAGGAAGATGGAAGATAACTGATGAGAAATCTTTAGGTTTTCTGTATATTGTTTTTTAATAGATTTTTTTTCTTAGCACACATTTCCTTACTTATTCTATATTAGCTGTATGGTAATATCTTTAATTTGTTTTTCAATTTTTTTATCCTCACACACAATATACTTGAGTTTTATTTCAAAAATATCTTTGAAAACAACAGACACTGCATTTAAATGCATTTCCTTATGCTAAGGAAATCCAATTTTAAAGATGTGTAAGTGTTATTTCTACATCAACATCAGTAAAGTTAAAATTACAGTGCTGCATCTCATCTACTGTAAAAGCATATTACAGTACTCAAGTTCCATTGTGCTTTGCCAGAATAAGCATAAACTGTGTGTTTATGTGTAAACTGCACCAATTTACAAGCCACTTGACAATTACATAATCATGTAAAAGCTCTTTTGGTGATGTCATCAATGTGAACAAATCCTATCTAATCCTACCCTGTTTAAATTGGGTAGCGTTGGTTTTGGGAACAGCATAGCCATGCACAGAGCTCTGGCAAAAAAGAGGGATCGACATTTGGGTGATTTGTTTGCACTATGCTCTTTGATGCCATGCTACAATTTTAGCAATATCCACAGTAGCCAGACAGTAGCTAGTAATGCTTTAAAAAGTCATAATTTCTGTACAAGAGCGTAAGTTGTATAGAACTATCAGTATTCTAGGTCCCGCTAAGCATCAAGTGACTGAAACACGATAGCTGATACAGCAAGAAAAATTCCTTTTAGCTACTTTACTCAGGCTTGGACTAGTCCAATCCAGGAAAACTTAATGACACTAAAAAATAATTAGAATTTATAGTGAAAAAAAAATCCACCATAAACATTGTGTTGATTCAATACAGTCCATACTGAGAGTAGAATTAAATACAAGCTCCCTGTGTAAAATTGGGTCTCTGAAACTTTGAACTGACTTTCACATTATGTTTGAATTCAAAAGTATTATTTGATCTTTAACCAATACTTTTTTTATACAGGCCAGGACCAGGAAAAGTTTCAGAAGAGCCAAGGTAAAAGCATATATTTTATGTCTGGTCTAATGAGAGTCAATTTTACGTATACCACAATTAAGCCTAACCTACTTACCTAAGAAAAATTAAATAAATTGAAATGTGAAAGTTTCCTTCAGTTTTGGGAAAACTTAAATCTTTAAGGGCAGTTGACCTTTTTAACGTGTGTCCACCTCTTCCAGGGTCTCAAATTCTTACGTGTTTAAACACTGAGTGTAATTTGCATTAAAAAACTTGTCCTTTGGCTTAATCAATTTCATTTAATGCATGGCTTGATCCGCTAAGTAAAGGTGCCTTTTAATGACATGCATACCTCCTTGGTTGTGAGACCTATGAGGGAGAAGAACAGCTTCCAGCATCATCTAGAGCACATTAAAGAACAAGGGTTAAGCATAAGAGAATCATTGCTGAAGACAAGACTTTTTTCTTTTTTTTTTTCTTTTTTCTTATACTTTATGGTATTTGGGGAGCTTGCATACAGTCATTTTGCACAGAGAGACCTGCTCTCTAGAACAGTAACCAGTTTCTAAGTATATGTTTCAGAACTGCATCATTTTTTTCTTCCTAGATTATGTTTACTCAGTTTTCTTGTCCCAAACACTACAGCAGTTAGCGAAGATAAAATCCTTCCCCTTCACTCCCACCCACTCTTACCTCTTCAGCTGAGCCTCACTTGCCCCCATTAGCCTCCTCCTTTCTTCCTAAATAACAAAAGAATAGATAACAGAAAGGGTTTAGCTAAGTCTCTGTATCAGGCTCCTTCTTGTGTAACTTACTGGAACTGTTTCAAAGGGGAAGTTTCTACCAAAGAGGAAGATTATTTGCTTTGTGAACACAGAAGTTATAAAAGAAGAAAAGCAAACAGGTAAATACCAATTTTAGTCTGACTTAGCAGAATGAACATTGAAAGTTTTTGGACTATAAAATTCTTAATAACACTTAATTTCTCAGAATTTTTATCATTCAATGAATGCAGAATGCATTAAAAATACCATAAAATAAATATGCAAACTATCCTATCCTGTTATATTTTTCATTTTTGGAAATAGAGAAGTAATCATTGAGCTCATTATTTGTCTGTCTCTACTATTTACTTTTACAAATTTAAAAGAAAGAAAGAAAAAAATCCTAAAATGTTAAATACTATAAATCCAACTATTAAAAAACCTTGCTAATAAAAATATTGTTCCTATAGCTCATGGGGGACATTCTCATTCATCCTAGGTAAATTAAGAATCTGATTGCTTTTAGAATGGCATGCCTTCCTGTAATTTTGTGGGATTTTGGGGAGATCGGGAACCCATGCTTATAAGGGAAATACAGTATCTATGTAGTAGTAGAAGAAGCAGCTGTGATTGTATGTCCCACGCCACAGTGGAATTCAACAAGATGTGGGGGCATGAACTCATGTGAGGAGGGAGGGTCCCCTAGCACATTTTGGAGTTGTGGAGACAAGAGTCAGGATGCTTTCCAGGTCCATGCTCTCCAGAGTGAATGACATATGGAGTTACAATAACTTTGGACAGACAGACAGACAGAAAGGCAGTGGGTTTTTTGATCTGCATAGGAATGGGTAGGACAGCAGTGCGTAGGCAGTAAGTCCTAATAAGCCATATTGCAACAATATACAACAGAAGTATAGTTGAAACCTGGATTTTTATTTTTTTTAGATACAATAAACAGTCCCTAGACTTGTCCCTAAGCATAGTAGTAACTCGGCGAAATAGACAGAAAGTCAACTGCAGATGAATAATTTTTATGTTTTTATACCCATGGAACTTTCTTTTTCCTTTATTTTCCTGACTTTTTAAAAACGCTATTGGAAAGGAGAAAAGCAGTAACCTCGGTATAAATTTTGTACTTCTCAAGTAGAAGGTTGCCCTGAACTCTGTTTGCGCGTGTATCTCTGTTTATGGCAGAAAGAGCTGAAAATAGTCCAGTAGACCAGAGTGGATTCAGACACTGGTAAAAACAATAGGAAATGCTGACAAATTCTGTGTCTTTGGATTAGGCTTTATTCATTAAAAGTTTGTGCAAAAAATATATCATGGTCTGTGACTTTTTACACTGTATTTCCAACATGCATCATTAACATTAGTATAATTTTCCCTCTGAAAATTGTTCCCACTTCTAACCGCAGGTACCACTTTTACTCCCACACATGGAGAGCTCTAAATTATTGTGCAGTCTTCACTCATTTGTCAAAACCGAATTAACAAATTACGACATGTCCAAGATGAGTCATAAAAGGAAATGGTAAAAAAAATCTACTGCAACTGCCTTTTGAATGCACAAAAGGCAGCCCTGGAAGAATAAGGGAGACACTGAGTCTTACATTAGCCTACAGCAGTGTAAATAGAAAATAGCTGGAGCAAGAGTTACAAAATTAAGAATAGTGTACAGGTTGGTGGGGGTTTTAGTTTTGAGGTGTTGGTTTTTTTTGCATTTTGAGGACCGTTTTTGAGGTAAGGGGCTGGACTGTAAGGTATTTTCTTTTTTTTCTCTCCTTTTTTTTTTTTTTTTCCCTGAACAGCATCTGTGAGCGAGCATTGACTTCTGCTGTGATTTGTTTCACAGCACTCAAGAAATGTAAATAGATATATAAAAACATATAAGAAAGCAGACCTACTTACAGGCATTTCTGAAACAACAACAGCTTTCTTGTGTTATGAAAGGCAGATCCACCAGCTAAAGAACTGAAATAGTGAAAACTCTTGTTTGCATTGAGTTTTTTTAAACACATAATACATTTCTGTCTACCCACACCTCATTTCACAGTTTTGGAGCCCAGATGAGTCCTCATCTTATATCACCTTGTAAAGAAATGGTTTATATCTCTGCTTATGAATCAGATCACATGCAGTGTAAATTTTAAATACAGGTATTTATTCTCTATGATGACTATTGCCACCTTGTCTTCATGTTTCTTAGCATAAATTGCTAGACTACAGTAGACCTACTAAAATTCTGATATTAAACTATCGGTACTTCCATTTTATTTTGGGAAAGTCCAGGACACCATACATGGCCTTTCTACAGTGCTGTGATAATAACGTCTCTCCTCATGCATGTCAGCATATATTTGTGAGCAAGTCACCACATGATTAACCAGATTCCTGGAGCTGCTTCCTAAAATGATTTTTTTCTTTATCTCCAGTTTCCAAAATCTTGCATGGCTTTAATATAATGTGGATTTTATCTTTTTGTTTAACTATAGTACTTTTTAAGAGATTTAAATTATATATCTAAACCTCAAAACTTTATTAACGGCCATATGTTTCTGAGAACTGAAAGGGAAAAATACATTTAAATCACATTGTCTTGCATTTTACAGAACAGTATAATTTCAGTTGATTTAGGCAACTTTCCTATATCTATTTTTAGGAAACCCAACAAGCAAACATTGAATTAAATTTGACACTGTACAGTTTGCC